GTGCGTGCGTGCGTGCGTGCGTGCGTGCGTGTGTGTAACCAACTATTCGATCGTGCTAAACGACTTGTTTCACGCGATGCGCTAAATTTTACCGAGCACGGACGTTCTTTTCGTGTGAATCAACTTGTTTCGTAACGACTCGTTGTCAGCGTTATAGAAATTGGAAAAACACTGTGATCGTACGCGTCATCAGGTCTGCAGATCAGATTTTCCCCTACGGAGAAAATCATTTTTTCATTCACAATTGTTATCTTGCGTGAACCAACCTTCCTCCGTGTTAAACACAAAAGTATGATAATCTCGAGTAGGTCAAATTACATCCAATTTTATAAACTTACGTTAAACTTTTAACGTAAAGTTTCTACCTGGGAAAATTAAATACGTTAGTTTTGTTACCGCATTACAGTTACCTACATACCTGTATACGTGTATTACCTACTGTATATCGTATTACCTACCGTTCGTGTTCCTACCATCCGTAGATAATTCAACTTTCATCGAGTTTTACAAACAGAAAAATTTTATTTAAATTTCAAACATAACGATCATCGTGTTGCCTCGTATCCACGTAAATTTAATCAATTTAATCGTCAGGTTATACAGACTTTTGAAAACATTTGCTGCAATTAGCCAGCAAATTTTCAATTATATAACGATCGAACGCAGCCAGTGAGTCGTTAAGATTCAAGATAAAGAGAATTATTGTTCGTTAGAAGCATCGCGGTAACTATCGTACTAGATCAAACTACTGTGAAACTGTAAAACTCTTTGAAACATGTGAAATTACAAACGTATCCAACAAAAATGATTGGTGGCTGCCTTTTCACATTACGATGAAAAGTAAAATCTAAGAGAAAAAGGAAAAGAGGAACGATAGAAGGCAAATTTGATTCTTTGATTCTTTGAGTCTTGAATCATCGATCTACGGAAACAAATTTTTATCGTTGCACCTTTTTGTTTTCCTTGTCTTTTTTTCAATCATCGGCTTTAACCAATCTCGTTTTATTGTAGTTCAATTCTTAAGCGCTTG